AAGTGATCAAACTGAGAAAAGGCCACATTCTCAGGATGAGGAAGATCTTGAGAAGGTCAGGAGAAAGAGGAAGTTGGATTTTCTGGACATCCTCCTCTTTGCCAGAGTGAGTGCATTAGGGGGATCCTGAGGCTTTGCCTAGAAGACAAGAGGAAGGGGCAAAGCAGTGCACTCTTACCTTTCTTTTCCAGATGAAAGAATGAAAGTAGCTTGACTGACAAGGACCTCCGTGCTGAAGTTGATACATTCATGTTCGGGGGCCATGATACCACAGCCAGTGGCATCTCCTGGACCCTCTATGCTCTGGCTACCCACCCTGAGCATCAGCAGAGGTGCCGCAAGGAGATCCAGAGCCTCCTGGGGGATGGTGCCTCCATCACCTGGTGAGTGCTCAGGAGATGGGAGAGCCTTGCCCACTCAGCTAGACAAGAAGCCCTGGTCTGCCTGGGCTCTGCCTGCCCTCAGATTGGGCTTCATTCATTCCAGGGATCACCTGGATCAGATGCCCTACACCACCATGTGCATCAAGGAGGCACTGCGACTCTATCCACCTGTACCAGCTGTTGGCAGAGAGCTCAGCAAGCCCATCACCTTCCCTGATGGACGCTCCTTACCCAGAGGTCTGGACTTCACCACACTCACTAACCTAGGAATTCTGCCATAACCCGTGGCAGATCAGACCCACATATCCTAGAGCAGTTCTGAACCTCTCTGGTCTAGTTTCTTCATCATTAATTGGATGCTAACTATATAATTTAGATGAAAAATATAAAATGCCTGGCACTGAGTTGGACCACAGCAAAAGTTCAATAAGTATTAGTTCCCCTTCCAACTCAGAGAGAATAAGTCATTTCAGTACATTCACCTAAATAGGTTCCATGCCTATGTGACACCTCACATGAAGAGAATCCTAAGAATTATCATTCTCCAGGACTAGCCTTCCATCACATATAGAATGCATGGTTTTATCCTGCTACAGCAATTCCATTCTATGGCACTGATGCTCTATGATTCTAACACTCTATGTTCCAATCCCATCTCCAGATTACAAGACTCTAGGGGCAATTTTGTTTGCATGGTCACATTTATTTGACTCCCCTCCATATCTGAGGTAATGTATGCATAAGTCCTTTTTGACAAATGCAAAGAACTGTATAAATGGCAGTTAATATAATTCTGACTCAGTCCATGGAATGTTCCTCACAAGATGTTGGATACTTGATGTGGCTTTTTGTTTTTTACTCTAATAGTCTAATTCCCTGAGATGTGAGGGTGGCAGAGACAATCAGTCAGAGGTAGGTGTAGCTGTGGTTTCTTTCTTATGGGATCTAGGCTCTAGGCAAATGAGGGAAATCCTGAAATCCAAGGTCATAGGTCTGATGGGCCAGTCGTTAAGGAGCCCTCAAGTTGATGTCAGAGAGCAGCTGATGACCAGATCTGAGAATGCTGCCATGGCTGGAGGCCACTATTTAGTTCACCTTTGGTGGTCTATATCCCAACCCTGCTACGTCCTAGCTGTGTGATCATGGGCAGGTTGCTTGGCCTCTCCGAAGCTCAGGTGTCTCATCTGAACAATGAGAGTATTAGCACCCTCCTTGGAGGGTTGTGGTGAGGATAGATGAGTTAAAGCATAATCTCCAAGGGACTCGTGGATGGCACTTGATAAATGTGAGTTTTATCTTGAATTGCTCCAAAAGTAGGCCTTCACTTCTTTCTTCCTCCTCACTCCTGGGTCATGGTTATAGACTCCTAATGTGTGCACATGTGCTTTGCCATGTTCACCCCACCTCTATTGCAATAGGATCAATCCACTCGGAGTGACTCTCATTGTGGCTCCCAAGTTTTTGTGCATGCACCTGCCCCCTGCTGGCATGTGTATAATCAGTCTTCTCTCCTCTCCCTGCCCAACAGGAATCCATGTCTTACTTAACTTTTATGCACTTCACCATAATCCGAAGGTGTGGCCTAACCCAGAGGTATGGTGGCTGTAGGAGGGAGGATGGGCTGTGGGAGGGAGGATGAGCTGATCTCTCTAGACAACACCTCCTCCTGTGCCCTCATGGATTGGAAGGAGGGGCTTGACCCAACCTGTCCTGGCCCTACTGCTCTCTCTGCAGGTGTTTGACCCTTCCCGTTTTGCACCGGGTTCTGATTCACACAGCCATGCTTTCCTGCCCTTCTCGGGAGGATCAAGGTGAGGCAACCTGTACTTGGGTGGTGAGCATCACCGGGGGCATACCTTGATGATTGTGACCTACACTTATATGGTGTCTGCTGTTATGCCCTTGTATATTGTTGTGTTGAGAAGGAGGCGTTTTTCTATATGTACAAAAGAAAGGTGGCATTTCAGGGCAGGGCACAAACACTTGATCCACTGATTTTCTCTGAAAAGCAATTGATTGTCATGTTTTGTTTTTTTTGCTTTTTGCCAACGTTGGACTGTATAGACAGTGGAACTATGGTATATAAATCCCACCTCATATATAGAATTTTGCCTACTGTCAATGTCATGGTTATGTGAATGTTAATGTGAAGTCCAACTTCTGTGGGGAGACTGCAAAAATAGAGAGGCGCATATGGCTCCAAAACTCTTCAAATGGCTACTTTCCCAATGGCCTTGCACAATTCAGTGTCAATTATTGTTCTAAAGTTCAGTGAGTCCAGCAATTTTCTCATTTCACAAATACAAGTTCTCCAAGTTAGAATTTTTCATACAAATTTAAATTTCAGATTACTTTTCTCAGTTATCAGTAATATTAAAAAGTGGGTTTTTCTCTTCCCACATGGCAGTCAAACCACTGCCTTTTCTCCTTCACTGATCAGCCACTCACTGTATCTGTGACATTTGTGTGTTTTTGGGTTTCTAGCACCTTCCTTGTTCTAACTGCTCAAGCCTTAATCAGGAATGGTGCACTAGCCCTTTGAAGAGAGTTTCACTCCAATGTCTGCCTCTTTAATTTTTCAGACTATCCTACAAAAGCTTGACTCTATATTGATATTCAAATAAGCATGACTACCTTTCCAGGAGGTAAAATCTGTACTAATAAAAGGGTAATATGCTAATTGGACCGGGAGTCCTTCCAGAGAAAGCCATGGTGGCGGGGCAGCAGTGGGGCAGTTGGTGGGGGGTGATCAGGCCAGCGGGGGGGGGGGGGCAGTTGGGGCTTAAAAGGCCAGCAGGGGGGGCAATTGTGGGGTAACATGCTGGCTGGAAGGGCAGTTGGGGGCTATCAGGCCCGCAGGGGAGGCAATTAGGGGGGATCAGGCTGGAAGTGGGGGAAATTAGGGGGGCGATCAGGCCCCCAAGCAGAATGGTTAGGGGCGATCAGGCAGGCAGGGGAGCAGTTAGGAGCCATTAATTCTGGATTACGAAAGGGCTGTGCGACTGCCAGTTTAGGCCCCATCCCTGTGGGTTCCTGATTGGAGAGGGTGCAGGCTGGTCTGAGGGACACCCCCCCCTGCAGTAATTTCATGCCCCGGGCCACTTATCTATACTAAAAAAGAATAATATGCTAATCAGAACAGGTCAACTGAACATCTTCTGGACGTCCGTCTTCCTTCTGGACAGTTTAGGGGTAACCCGGCCGGCAGGGGGCGGGGGGGAGTTAGGGGGCAACCAGGTCAGCAGGGGGGAAATTAGGGGGCAATGAGGCC